AAAGCTTATTTTAAAAAATTAATATTTAACATTTTAACAAATATTATGAATTATTTTTAAAAAAAAAAAAAAAAAAACTCTTACAGAATCCAAACTTTTGATTATTTATTTACCTCTCATGTTCAGACCACAGTTTGATATGGGCTGTGTTACGTTCTCCCCAATCTAGGGTTGGGGATACCGAACAAATCATTAACAATAAAGATAATTAAGCAACAATACCCGCCCCTCTCCTGTCCCAGCTCACACACAGAAACACAACGGAGCGAGAGTATATTCAATAATACGTTTTTAATTCACAAAGTAACATAACAAGAAGCGTGAATCTTCAGGAGGGGTCAAGGCCAAAATAACAAACAAAAGAAGAACTAACTAAAACATTAATTAGACAGTAACTTACCTAACAAATCAAAACCCAAACAAAATACAATACTCTCCCCTTACTCCCTAGCTGTCAATAAACAGGAGATAACAAGGGATCATAAAGTAAATGGCAACCTCCTCCCTACGGCTTCTGAAACAAACATAAATTAATAACACCGGCACAAAAGACTCTCACTTAGAATGACAGCAACCCGTCAGCCACCACAATACCACCGATGCGTTGATGACTGGGGCAGGAGACGGAGGGCAGTAACGGCAACGACCAACACTGCGGGACTCAACGCGCTGCTTTCCACACGCGCTCTCACCCTGCTCTGCTCGCGCTCAATGCATACAATGCTCGCGTCCGCTCGTACTCAGTACGCCCCACTAATGTTCAGGCTCAGCGCTCCCCAACGCTCAGGCTCAGTGCTCTTCCATTCTCCTCTTCCTTCTCAGCTTTTAACCACTCTCGCTCATCCACATAATCAGCTGCAGCTGCGTCCAATCAACACTGCGCAGGGGAAAATGGAAAAGAGAGAGAGAGAGAGAGAGAGAGAGAGAGAGAGAGAGAGAGACAGGAAATGGCACAATACACAGAACATCTCTGCACATTGAACAATCAGGATGAACAATAAAAGCACTTCTGTCCGGAGGACGTAACAGCTGCATTTTACAGGTCATGTGACCTCACAAAAAGGACAGATTTGAGCAGAAAATAAAAATTGATCTCTTTGGCTGTTGTAAGTAGCCTTAAAGTGTATCAGCTTTGACTGTTATTCCCCTCATGTTTCAGCAGAGCCTCTAAACGCTGACTACTCAGGTTTAGATGATTGAAATGCATAAAGTAGCTCTAACTTGACATTGTAATTTCATATTGCATACAAACAATATAACTTCACCCTGCTTTGCACACTTTAAACAGATTTTAAAGCAGGGGCCAGAATTTACTTTTTCGCCACTGCTGCCAACTGTGGGTGAATTCAGATAAATTACTGGCCGTAAAAATGCATTATTTTTGTATTATTCTTTCATTGAAAATATATTTTCAGCACTCATAACCATGAGATCATTTAGATGAGATCCTTTAGCTGTTGTTCACGTCTTAATGTCATTGCATCATAAGATGAGGTCGTAATTGCACTTTCTGTAAAAATGCACCTGACACGTGAGAACACTTGATTTTCTTCGTCATGTTTTTGTTTTGTTGGCTTAATGTGAGGAATATTGCACATATGCGTTCTGGAAAAACTAACTTTCGAAGGGTAAAAAAACTTTAGGCATCCTACAGTTTCCATTGCACATCATGACAAAATTTCTTTAGTAGACAGTATTTATTTACTTTACTTTCTTTACAGATTAGCTTGATATCAGTTCCGTGTAATATTGCAGATTCTAAGAAAGTTTCTGGCTAACTGGCAAAGACATTTTGGCACTTGGTGAGATCCTGCGTCTGAATATTTATTGTTGTTCCAGAGAGATGTCAGGGTTGATCTCTGACTCTTAAAGCATCCGCTGATTTGTTTTTCTGTTTTAGGATAATGGATATTGATTAATTCAATAAATGATAGTCTTCCAGCAATGAGCGTTTGGTACTCACCCGCTGAATCAGACTTATTTATACACTCTATACGGAAATCACACAGCACCAGTGATCCATACAGATCAAGTGTTCTGCTGTGATTATGTATGAGAAATTGTAATGAACCTACTAAAGTTGATGCAAACGGTTTTTGCATGTGCATCTGTTGCATATGCATGTGATCACATCTTTAAATCTGCTGGACGATGTGTGGAAATTATCCTCCTTCCTGAAGCTTCCAGTGGATGCTCACGTTTGTACCATGACCTTTCATCTGTCCTGTAATCATAAACAAAGTCATGTGACCCGTCCCTAATGTTATTAGAGATGCAGCCTGTATTTTGTACCATTCAGCATTTTTTATTGCTGAAGGGGGGATAATGATTTCAGGGTGAAATCTTCAGTCATCAGCTGGTTCACAGGTTTACAGAACATGAATCACAAATGAGCTCCAGCCTGTTGAGAGCTTCCTGGAAGGAGATGAAGATTAAAGATGAGTCTTCATTTCCTTTAAGAAAATCATTTTATTTTATTATTTTATTTTTATAAAATTAAATTTTATTTTAAAATGATATGGTTACATTTATGATATATCACTTATTACAGCAAGCTTTATTTATTTATTTATTTATTTTAAAGTAATTTATTATGTAAATTACTTTAAAATAAATTATGTAATTTATTATTATGTATTTATTATGCAAGTATCATTTATTACAACAGAACTCTGTTCTGAATTTGTTCCTTGTCTTTAGGAATGTGAATCATAAGGTTCAGATTCTGATTTACTCTTAATGATTCTGGTGCCTTAACCATTATATTATTCTTTTAGTACTTTTGAGAAGAAGAATTAGTCAAAAATACAAAACAAAAATAATAATGACTTAGACTAAATCTAGTTTGTTGTTGCATGCAACCAGTGGATGTGACACAATTGAGTGTTTTTGCATTATTTTGTCTTTTTCTTTTATTGCATTCGATTCCAACTGTAAACTGATAAAATATCGTTTCTTGTGCTCTGTCACTATAGATTTATAAGCTTCCCAGACGTTCAACAATCACCGTTTTCAACCATACTGAAAACACAGATCCTGTGAATTTCCCAGTGATCTCAGAAGTAACTCATTACCAGATGATATCACAGATATTGACGTTGCATGGGAATTTAAGACCTGTTTTGGAGGGAGGTGCACAGAGGTTAAAGAGGACATCAGATAGAGAGAGAAGACGAGTCAATACTTGCTGGCAAGTTTTATTTCTTTGATTTACAGCGGAGCTCTGTGGATCACTGGAGCAGCAAGACGAGGATTTTAAAAATGAGGAAAGAGCGAATGGTTATAGGCTGAATGGAAAGCAAGCTGTTACCAGGCAACAGCAAGTCAACACCCTCCATCAGATATCATTTATCCTGATTTAGCCATCAGCATCTTTCAATCATGTCTGAAACGGGAGGAGGGAATATGGAGAGAAGAATGGATAACTCTTCACCTTTACTTGGAGGCACAATAATTCTTCATTCCCCTGTGTGTCATGATGGCCCGTTTAGGCTCAGAGGTCACGCTATCAGAACTAATGAGGTCCAAATCAATGTCTGCAGGTACTAATGTACGGTCTCACTTCATTACGGCCAACAGTTTCTGCTCACAGACTTACTAGGAGTTTCAATTAGTAGCAAAAATTCAAGGAAAGTGAATGAGGAGGCTGTCAAAGTGTGGTTTCAGTCTGTGGGTTGGTTTATGTGGGCGTGGCTTTGATAAGTAGGTTTGTTTAAGTGGGTGTGGCTTCGAACTGTGGGTTTGTTTAAGTGGGCGTGGCTTCAAACTGTGGGTTGGCTTATGTTGGTGGGGCTTACATAATCACACCAGAACACTTGATCTGTATGGATCACTGGTGCTGTGTGATTTCTGTATAGAGTGTGTAAAAAAGTCTACAGCTAATCATTGAGGTTAGTTCCCCTGATTCAGTGGGTCAGTACCGAACGCTCATTGCTGGAGGTTGGTTTAAGTGGGTGTGGCTTCAAACTGTTGGGTGCTTAAGTGGGTGTGGCTTCAGTCAGTGGCTTGGTTTAAGTGGGTGTGGCTTCAAACTGTGGTTTGCTTAAGTGGGTGAGGCTTTAATCAGTGGGTTGTTTTTAAGTGGGTGTGGCTTCAAACCGTGGGTTGGCTTAAGTGGGCGTAGCTTCAGTCAATAGGTGCATTCGACTTCATGCGGCGCCGCGCAAACCGATCGGCGGCTGACTTGAAGCAGTGCATGCCGGTTAGAAATTTTGTCCGACTTGAACCGGCGCCGATGCTACGTCACTTTAACGTGTGGCATCAAAGTACCGCGATAGCATTTCGCGAGCAGCTGGCTGACTCAGCTGGCGCAGCTTTTTCAGAGTGACTGCAGGAGCGCTGATGACGACACAGCTGTTTCACGATTGGCCAAATTCACCACATGACAACAATGACGTGTGTTTCTAACATCTTCAAATCCAATACTGCTCATAAATCTGTGTTTTTAGAACATTAAAAGCTTTTTTACTGTAGTCGCAATGTTATATTGAGTCACGTTTATCATGAAAGCATATATACCCCCACTTTATTAGTATTTAAATAGTATATATTTACGTTGAACTTTATTCTTGAACAGATGGCGCTGTATTAAGCAGTATATAAAAAGTGTTTCTGTTGCTCATGAAAACATTTCTGAAACGTCTGTGTATTTGACAAATATTCCATTTAATTCACTTCATCTGTGACACCGCGCGAGCGTCACTAACGGGAGCAGAAAGTGTCCGGCTTGACGGCTCCGTTTTCACCTCCGCCCCGACTGCAAGCGGCTACTCTCGTTGACTGCCGTCTGTAGCAGTGCTTCAAGTCGAACGCACCTAGTGGCTTGGTTTAAGTGGGCATGGCTTCAATCAGTTGATTGTTTAAGTGGGTGTGGCTTCAATCATTGGGAATTATAGTGGTCTGTCACCAATAAACAATGCTATTTTAGTATTGTTCATATACTTTTATAGTTTTTATTTTGAAATAGCTTTTTGTGTATTTTATGTCATCTTTCATTTTAATTTTAGCTTAAGTTGTTTTTTATGTACTTCTATCATTTTTTTTTTACCAAATATTTGATATAGCTTTAATTTATTTTTATTTTAGTTTTAGTAATTGTAGTACTTATTTCAGCTAGTTGCTTTATTTTATTTTATTTTTCAAGTTTTTCAAATAATATTTATTTTTTATTTTATTTCAGCTTTATTTCAGCTACCAAAAATGATTTCAGAATTTTTTCCTTTATATATATCTTGACGGGAGCAGAAAGTGTCCGGCTTGACGGCTCCGTTTTCACCTCCGCCCCGACTGCAAGCGGCTACTCTCGTTGACTGCCGTCTGTAGCAGTGCTTCAAGTCGAACGCACCTAGTGGCTTGGTTTAAGTGGGCATGGCTTCAATCAGTTGATTGTTTAAGTGGGTGTGGCTTCAATCATTGGGAATTATAGTGGTCTGTCACCAATAAACAATGCTATTTTAGTATTGTTCATATACTTTTATAGTTTTTATTTTGAAATAGCTTTTTGTGTATTTTATGTCATCTTTCATTTTAATTTTAGCTTAAGTTGTTTTTTATGTACTTCTATCATTTTTTTTTTACCAAATATTTGATATAGCTTTAATTTATTTTTATTTTAGTTTTAGTAATTGTAGTACTTATTTCAGCTAGTTGCTTTATTTTATTTTTTTTTTCAAGTTTTTCAAATAATATTTATTTTTTATTTTATTTCAGCTTTATTTCAGCTACCAAAAATGATTTCAGCATTTTTTTCCTTTATATATATCTTGAACAAATGGTTTTGTGGTCTGTGTGCTGCTTAACATCCAGTTGAATCATTTGTCATTAGAGTCATTTGACAGTAATTCATTCCAGAATTTGTGTTTTTTTGCTGCTTTATTTAGCCAATGTAAATTATTTATATTCAGAACAAGAGGAGAAAGAGAAAAATGTGTTTATATGGACCATTTGTTTAAGTGTAACGTAAAAAACAAACAAATAGCACTGTATTATATGTAAGTGTGTGTGTGCAGTATACATGTGAGATGCTGTATTTCACTGTGTGTGTGTGTGTGTGTGTGTGTGTGTGTAAGCCCTGCAGGCCTGCTGCTATTTTTAGTCTATGTCTCTCTTGTTTCTTCTCCTATCTCTTTTTCTCTCTCATATCTTTCTTTAATGAATCTCCTCTAACAGTGGCTGACATTACTGGCCAACTTCCTGCATTGCCCTGCGGCTCGACACATGACAGATCTGTGTTGCACTGTCTGTTAATTTTGACAATATAAGATGGATCGTGCAGCTCATTTCATATGTGCATATCTCAAATAATTGTTTACTTGTGTGACACGTCCATAGTTTTTCCATATGATAAGGATGCTACAATGCCCTGGTAAAATGTTCAAAAAATGTAATTTTCAGTTTGTGCTTTGCAAAGTCATGTTCCTTATCAGTATTTTCAGTTATAATATTTCTGCGCAGTACAAAAGCTGTCTATGGGGCATTTAGGAAATGTATTCGGTTTCTATTCTCTTTTTGTTGTTGTTTTAATGTTGTTTAGGGGAAGTAAAATTACAGGAATCTGATATGAAATATACATTGTTATGGGTGTTCAACCACACATCAGTGTGTTTATGACTGAATCTAACATCTGTTTCTCTCTCTCTTTCAGGCATTTTTCGTGTCTCTCGTCCAAGTACATGTGTCCCGGCGTTCCCGCGGTGATGAGTAACCTGCTTGCCAACATCAATGCCTACTTCGCTCACACAACAACGGCAAACACTAACATCTCGGCCTCCGACCGATTCGCAGCATCCAACTTTGGGGTTTGTCAGTCTCACTGCTGATGGATGGATGGATGGATGGATGGAT